CGCGCTCCCATTGGCCGCGGCCCGCCCGGGCGGGGCCCGGCGCGGCCCCTCCGTGCGCCCCCGCTGCCCCGCGCGGGGGTTCCGCCACACGACAGGGCCCGGCGCAGGTACCGAGCGGGGCGGGAGAGACCGGGATAAACCGGGATAAACCGGGACAGAACGGGACAGGCCCCGCGGCCAGCGGGCTGGGGACGGCAGGGAGGGGTGAGCGGGCTCAGCCCGCGCCGGCGGGGCTGGGCTGGGCTGGGCTGGGCTGGGCTGGTGTGAGAGCCGGGCATGGGGGAATAGGGGCTGGGAATGCCGGCCCTGGAATGGGGGAATGGGGGATATGCGGTGCGGGAATAGGGACTGGGAAAATACGGTCCATGGGGCTGGGGCATGTGAGAATGTGGGCCATGGAAAGTGGGAATACGGGCTGTGAGATATGGGAATATAAACTGTGAAATGTGGGAATACAGCCTGTAGGGTACAGGAATATGGACTGGGAAAATACGGGCTGGGGGATGCGGGAATAGGGGCGGTGGGAATACGGGGTGTGGGGTGCACAAGTATGAGCCTTTGGATGTGGGAATATGGGCCCTGGGATGTGGGAAGCCGGGCTGTGGTGCTGAGGAACTCCCAGGACCCTTCCAGCCTGAGTCCTGCCTGGAAAACCCCCAATCCAGGGGGATCCAAACTCCAGGGGGAGTAAATGGGGATCACTGAGGGCTCCCAGTCCTGGAAAATCCCGGGGTGTGCTATTCCAGGGGGTTCCGTGGCCTCAGCCCTGGAATGGGGGTATTCCTGGGACATGGGTTGTGTTACTGGGATAATCCTGGAATGGTTTGAGTGGGAAGGGACCTCAAAGCCCATCCAGTGCTGTGGGCAGGGACACCTTCCCTCTTCCCAGGCTGCTCCGATCCCTGGGTATCCCTATGGAAGAGTTTGGAGGGGCTGCCCCTGCTCAGCTCTGGGGTGCCTGTGCTCCATCCCGGTGTTTTCCATGGATTTGTGTCTCGCTGAGGCCTCAGGGATCACAGATCCCACCTGGAGGCTCTCCCAGGCTCAGGATGTTCCTTGGAATGTTGTCCTGGTCCTTAATTTCCCACTGGGAGCTCCAGGGCTGTCCGACCAAGCCTGGGAACTTCCATCTGGGAGAACAGGAGTTTTCCAGGTGCCTCGGGAATGTGCAGAGTGATTCCACCTGTTTGTGGGAAGGATCCAGGTGAGGTTGTGGCTGCTGGGACAGGTGGATTGATTTGTTTGGGAGCTCTGGGAATTTTGTGTGGGATCAGTGAGTCCTGAACGGGATTTAATTCCAAGATTGTGGCCTGTATGTGGGTTTTTTTGGAATTCACTCCCTCTGGAACAGCAGGAAGAGGAGAAAACCTGATGATCCTCCTGCCAGGGAGGGGGAAAATTCCAGTAATATCAATTTTTCCTGCCAAGAAAGGGGAGAATCCAGATAATCCCAATTCTGGGAAGAGCTGAGTGAGGGCTGGGAGGAGGAGAACATTCCAGGATTGGATGGACTCAGCTCCTTCCAGGGAACAGACCTGTGGAAAACAGGGAGAAATCTCATAATTAGTGGGATTTTTGGCCCTTTCTTGTCCCAGGAAGTCAGGATGAGTTTATGCTGCAATTCCTGAGGGATTTGGGCTTCCAAGTGCTGCCCATCCCAAAAAAGCTCAGAAGGATCCAGGATAGTGGGATTATCATTCCAATTTTTGGCTAAAAATCTTCCTCTTGCACATTCCCAGGCAGGGGAAGAGGCTCATTTTCCACCCAGGAATGTGCCATTCCAGCTCTGCCTGTTGGAATCAAGGAAGTGCAGCCCAAAAATGTGGGATTTCTCAATGGATTTTGTTATTTTCCCATCAGGAATCGGAGCCCTTTGGCTTTCCCAGCAGCCACAGGAGCTGCCAGTGGTTCCAAGTTTTCCTGGATAAAACTCTCCAGGGATAAAAAAAAAAGGGATTTTAAGGCCTTTTTGTGCTTCCCAACTCGGCCAGTTGGGAAAAGGCTGAACAATATTTCACGGATCCCTGTCCTGCTGGGGTTTTCTTTGGAAAAGTTGGGAAGTGGGGCTGGAATCCTGCCCTTTGTGGGTTTAAAGGCTTTATTTCCCCCCCAGTGACCCTTGGAATACGGTTGGGAATCGATAAATAAAGTCAAGGTCAGAGGAATTTTGCTGATCCAGGTGTTTTTTGGACCTTTTCCACAAACTTCCATGATTATTTTGGCTTCCCAGCTCCTGGAATGGCTCTGTGCTCTCCCAGGGAAGGGAGGCTTGATTTCATAGGGAATAATTGAAGCATTTTTGGGTGGCAGCTTCAGGAAAACAGGGAAAAATGTGGGAAAAATACCCCCAAGTACCATCTTAGGGCTGTGATCCCACGGGAGCAGGAGCAGGGGATCCTCAAAGTGCTGCTTTGGGGCTTTTTTTCCTCATTTTTGGTGGATTTCTCCTGTTTTTGCTGTTCCGGATCTCGGTTCCTTCGGAAAGGGAATAACGAGCTGGATTTCTCTGAGGTTCCAATAAATTGGCTCTGTTTCTCTGGACTTTTAATTGAGCTGGAAGATGAAAAGGAATCTTCTCATGGAGTTAATTTAACGGGTTCTTTGGGTGTTTGGGGTTTAATGATGGAATTTTCCCGTCGGAGCCGCAGTCGGAACTTCCCGAGCCGGTTCCTGCCGGGTTCAAAGGGAGTTGACTCATCCCTGAGCTTTGTGAGCAGCCCTGAGGTGGCAGAGGATGTTCCCCTTTCCCATTGTTACCATTTTAGGATTTTCTGACGCTCCTGAATAAAATTTGGGAATTAAAGCAATGAGCAAACCCGGAAAACTTAGCAGTGATCCCACAGAATTTCCTCCCAGACCACAGGAAGCTGGGTTTGAAATGGGAATGTTGAGGTGGGAATATTGGAGGGGATAAAATGCATGGAAATGAGATCCCTGGAAAGAAAGCTCCCTGCTAATTCCAAAGGAAAGGAGCTTTTCCCTGGTGTCTCCTCCTGAGTCTGGAACCTTTTCTTCCTCCCTCGTTTGTATCGTTTGTGGGTTTGGAGTTAAACTTGAGCTGATTTGGGAAATTTTGGGTTAAGAAGGTGGAATATGGGAGGGAAGAGTTTTAAAAATCAGGAATTGTGGACGTGGTTTCATAGAGTCCTGGAATGGTTTGGGTTGGAAGGGACCTTAAAGCTCATCTTGTTCCAACCTTCCACTATCCCACGCTGCTCCAAGCCCTGTCCAGCGTGGCCTGGAACACTTCCAGGGATGGGATGTTTGGATTGGGATTGAGGGATTGGATCAAGAAGCAAAGTGTTGGATGAGGCTCACCTGATCCCAGGGTTTCCATGCCTGGTAGGATCCAATGATTCCATTTGGGATGTCCCTGGAGAAGGGGCTGGGGAGGTGCCACAGCACCGGCTCTGGTTCAGGGGGGTGGTTCCCTGTGTTTCCTGGGATTTGGGGCTCATCCAGACTCTCCCAAACACCAGGGAAGGAGCAGAGGGGAGGGGAGGGAGCATGGAATGACCTCAAGTTGGTGGGAGAGCTCTGGACCTTCTGTGGTGGGACAAGGAAGGTCCTTGTCCCTTGCCTTTGGAGGTGGCTCCATTCAGGCTCAGTCCTTGTCTTGCCATGGAAAGCAAAATCTCTTCCATGCATTCTGTAGGGTTTTCCATGCGTTCTGTAGGGTTTTCCATGCGTTCTGTAGGATTTTCCATGCATTCTGTAGGGTTTTCCGTGTTTTCTGTAGGGTTCAGTCCAGGCTGTGTCTCTGAGGGACCTTGGGAGTGTCCCCGAGCTCTGGGAATGGGGCTCAGGGCAAATCCCTGCTCTGGAACTGAACTTCCAGTCCATCCAGTGTGTCCAAATGTGCTGGGATCGGCGGGATTGGAGGAATTCTCCTTGAGGAAACCTCTGGAGACACCTGGACCTTCCTTCTGGGAGGTTGTGGAGCTCTCCCTGAGGAGTTTGGAGGCAGCTGAGCAACAATTTTCCATGAAATCCCAGCCTGTGCCATGCCTTCCCACTTCCATGGGCACGGGGGGTTATTCCAGAGCTTGGATGCAGCGGATCCCTGGCGGCCGAGCAAAGTAGGTCAGTTCTTTGGGAATGCTGTGATTAATTTATAAATGCCATCTTTTTCCTGGGGGAGATGGGGATCCAGGTGGATCCCAGTGCTCCTCCTCCTGCCACAGCAAAGTGATGCTTCCCGGGAAAAGAAGAGGAGCCGGGAGGGAGGGAAAGGATTATTTTTAAGCCCTTCTGGAGCTTTTCCTTGAACGTGAAATGTGGTTTTTTTTCCCCTTGAACATGAAATGGGTTTAGAAGAGCAAATCCTGCCTGGAATGTAACGATTCCAAAGCCTTGGCAGATGGGGAATTTGTTTCCAAACACCAAGTGTTGGAGCTGTTTGAAGCCGGGTTTTGAGGATGAGCAGCACTCGGGAATGTTCACATGAAGCCTTCCCAGAACTGGAGGTTTAAAGGAACAGTTTCATCAGGAAAAGGGAGGAACGAGGGAAAGATAACACTTTCTTATTTGGGGAAAATGACAAGAATAACACTGGGAGACTTTCTTTGGATTATATGGAAAATAATGGGGGGGGAAAGGAGGGTCACTCACGGGCTGGTGTTCACTGAGGGGGGACAGGGAAGGACGTGGAGCTGCTGGAGCAAATCCAGAGGTTCCCATGGAGATGCTCCAAGGGCTGGAGCCCCTCTGCTCTGGAACCAGGCTGGGAGAGCTGGGAATGTCCAGCTTGGAGATGGGAAGGCTCCAGGGAGAGCTGAGAGCCCCTGGCAGGGCCTAAAGGGGCTCCAGGAGAGCTGGAGAGGGACTGGGGACAAGGGATGGAGGGACAGGACACAGGGAATGGCTTCCCACTGCCAGAGGGCAGGGAGAGATGGGAGATTGGGAAGGAATTCCTGGCTCTGAGGGTGGGGAGGTGCTGGAATGGAATTCCCAGAGAAGCTGTGGCTGCCCCTGGATCCCTGGAAGTGTCCAAGGCCAGGTTGGAGCAACCTGGGCTGGTGGGAGGTGTCCCTGCCCATGGCAGGGGGTGGCACTGGATGGGCTTTAAGGTCCTTTCCCACCCAAACATTCCAAGATTCCATGGTTTGGCAGGGAATTCCCTCACCTTTGCCAGGCAGTCCCAAAAGCCTTGGAACACTTGTTGATGGGATTGGGATCAGCTCCTTGCTGAGAGCTGGGAAAGGACAGCTGGGAGTTCAAGATGTGCTTTGGGATTTAAACTCCCAAAATTTGGATTTAACACGTGCCAGGTGCTTCCCTGGAGTGTCCTGGATCTTATTGCCACGACATGGGAACATTTTTATCCCTGGAGGGGCAGTTTGTTCCCACTCTGGACAGGATTTTTTTTGTCCCTCTTGGTGTAACTTGGGAAAAATGGGTCCTGATCCACATCCAGTCCTTAAACCCTCATTTAATCCTTGAACTGCAGCAAAAGGCAAAGACTGGGGGGCCTTATTTCTTGGAATGTTCCGTTGGAAAAGGTGGATTTGTTGTTACATTTCAGCTGAGTGGGGCTGGGAATGGCAGGGAAAAGCAGCAGGGAATGTTTTAGGTCAGACTGAGGCTTTGCCAGTCCTGGGCTTTCTTGGAAAGGCGACTCTTGGATCAGTGTCCAGGAACAGCCCGAGTTTCTTGGGATTCACAGCCTGTAAAATTTATGGAATAATAAATATGCAAATGGGCTGCTGCCAGTGTGGAACTGGGACAGGGATCTGGGCTGGCTCACAATTCCCTCTCCTCCAGGAGGGAGCTTTAGCAGCTTCCCACCTTTTGAAGGATCTGATTCTCGAGTCTTTTCCCGAAATACCTTTTTTTAACCTATAAAAAAAAAAAGGCTGGAAAAAGGGAAACTTTGGGGTCATTTGCAGAAGCACTGGTTTGAATTTTTAAAGGGTTTAGTGATGCTGCATTTCCCTGGCACAAAATTCCATGTGTGTTTTTAAGGGAACAGTGTCAGGAGCCCACAGTTGGATCTATTTCGTGCTGGAAAACTAAATATTCAAGCCCTGAACTTCCAGGTTTTCCCTCTCCATGTTCTCACAGCTCCCAGGATTTTTGTATTTCCAGGCTCCCACCCATCCCAGATTCTCCTTGGGCCTTAAATCCACTTGTTTAATCCCAAAAATGTGTTTTATAGATGTTTTTAACCGATTTCAATGAGAAATGGAACTGTCAATCCCCCCT